AATTAGAGCTCCACATTGAGCTCCACTGAGTGCAGAGACTACTTGGGATTCTCTCTCTCTCCCTCTCTCTCCCCCTCCCCTGCACAGTCACTCTCTCCTTCTCTCCCCAAATAAATAAAGAAACATTAAAAATATTAAATAATAGGAGATGGCTATATTTATCATTTGGAGTTCTTCTTTGGGTGACTGTATAAAAAATGAAGAAGTAATAATTTGTTCTTATCTTGTAGCTCTTTGGATCTCTCTCAGAAAATCTGCCTTAGGAGACTGCTCATGATCAAATTAACCTCTCTTAACACTAGGGGTAAAATGAAGAAAGCATACGGAGGCTCCAATATACATTGTCTTTTCTAGCTCCTAATAATTCATCTGTAGTACAGATTTGTGCTAAGGCAAAATACAGATTCTGCAGTAGTGGGTCCATAATGGCAGACAAGTTGGTATCTTCCTTCCCATAACTACTTATTCTTTCCTTCATTCATCCTTAAGCTCATCCTAGACCTCTTCTCTCTATATATCCAGAGGCACACATGCTTATGATTTAGGCTTAAGGGGCCAACGTTCTTCTGAGGGTATATATGGTTGTACTCTTAAAGACACTTTGAGACAGTTAGGTAATAGATATTAAAGTACATACTTAGAGAATAACAAGAAGTAGTTCTTCATTTAGTGATTGGTTGTGTATCCTAGGTCAACAATTTTCAGACAGCTATTTGATTTTTAAGATGCAGATTTTCTGATATTAATGGAAGAGATATTATTTCTATTGAATTCTTTGATTCAAAGAAAGTACTGTGTGTGATGGCAGAACTTCTCAGGAAAATAATACACATTGTTTTGAGATATGGTACCATATATTGCCCTAAGATTTATACAAGGTGCAACATTTCCATTTCATATTTATACAGGTTCCAGCAATGAGATGGTTTATTTCAATTCCATTGCATAGTTGCCTGGAAGCACCACTTATATTTGTTTTAAGAGAGGGCCCCAAGAAGCCAAACCTAGACAATGATCTACTGAATCGCACTGGGACAATTTAATACAATACCATTACATTGGAAACATTTACATATGTAGCTGCAAATCTACTTATTTGAAGCATAGTTTATATAATATTATGACAGACAAAAATATATATTTAGAACCATTATACATATATGTCTGTTCAGGAGCAAACTTATAATAAATTATACATTATGCCAGGGTAAATTTTTTCAGACTAAAAAGAAAAAGTTACACTTTATATTTAAGGTACAATTCATTATTTCCAAATAAAAAAAGATAATAGCCATTCCATTAAATTCACTTATTTCAAGCTTACATTCATTTGACATTCACATAAAATTCATTACTATTAACTGTAGCAGTGACATTGAATTTTGACACTGAGAGTTGGAAGGTTTATTGACATTTCAGTCCAAGCCTAATGGTTTAGAAAATACATGTGAAAAAAAATATTAAAACCATCCAAGAAACATGTTACAATTATTGTAGAAGTATGAAAATAAAACATATGCTTAATTCTAATGCTTTATCCACAAATGTTGGCTCCAGAGTCAATATATAATACACTGACTAATACATAGCCAATATCTAAAATGTTTCTGTTGTTTTATTTTCATGGAGAATGGGTTTTTGAAAATTAGGTCCATGAGCTAAGCTGGAAGAATACAAAGCTTCCAGCATTACCCATAATGTCAACACAGAGCCAGGGATGAACATAAGGTATTGTCTTCTGCATGAACAATTTTGTTTCTTCCTTGGAAATGGGGAAATATGCATGCAAATGAGCCTAAGTAAACATCCTGTGATTGCTGTTTCATTCTTTTTGATCATCACCATTTTTTGTCCTCTTAAAAAAGCATCTTGCTCATATTTAGCACATTTGTAAGTGTATTTTATACTAAATTAGCTTTTTATAAATCTAGTTTGAGAGTAGGCATGAAATAATGTATCAAATAAAAATAGAATATTGTCAGAGTGCCTGCATGGTTCAGTTGGTTAAGCTTCCAACTTTGGCTAAGGTCACGATCTCATGGTTTGTGAGTTCTAGCCCTGTGTCTGGTTCTGTGCTGACAGCTCAGAGCCTGGAGCCTGTTTCAGATTCTGTGTCTCTCTCTGTTCCTTCCCCACTAGCACTCTGTTTCTGTCTCTCTTTGTCTCTGTCTCTCAAAAATAAATAAACATTAATTTAAAAAAATAGAATATTTTTATAGGCTTACATCATTTTAAGTTGCTTAGTTTTTAATGTTTTAGACAAGGTAAAATTCCCCCCCTTTTATCTTTCCACTATTACAAAATGAATGGGGCCCCCAGGGTGGCTCAGTTGGTTAAGTGTCCGACTTTGGCTCAATTCTGATCTCACTGTTTGTGAGTTTAAGCCTTGTGTTGAGCTCTGTGCTGACAGCTCAGAGCCTGGAGTGTGCTTCAGATTCTGTGTCTCCCTATCTCTCTGACCCTCTTCCTGCTCACACTCTGTGTGCACCTCTCTCTCTCAAAAATGAATAAACATTAATTTTAAAAAAATGAATGGACTGGAAGAAATTTTCACTGTTAATATTTATTCTTTTTTACCTGATTTAATAATGGTTATTGCACATATTGAACATATCTGGGCAACTGTTTCCCAATGAAACTGTAAACTCTAACATCTTCAGAGACTCTACATCCCCGCTGTACTCTTACAACATGGGCGATATCTTCTATGGAAACTGATGCCTAAATAGCTTGTACAAAAACTTAGGTTGATGGAGTGCATAAAAACAATTATTCAGGCCATGTATCAGAGAGCATGGCACATCTGAAGGACCAGATGTGCCAGGAACTGGAGTCCCCAACAATTAATCACTTTTCCATGCAAGTGTTTCCATCTTTGCACATTGTCCTTAGTGAGATTCATTCCCTGTTTTCTCCATCCATGTCTGAGAACCTTGGGACTCCCACACTACTGTTTTCAAAAATGTGCTCCTTCCAAGTGCTCCATTTGGTAGTAGGCATGGAGTAGATTCTGAGCAAATAGATGAGTGAAAAGAATTTGCTTTTTGTTTATGAGAGAGAGAGAGAGAGAGAGAGAGAGAGAGAGAGAGAGAGAATCCTAAGCAGTCTCCATGCCCAGTGAGGATCTCCATGTGTGGCTTGATCTCACAATCATGAGATCATGACTTGAGCTGAAATCAAGAGTTGGACACTTAACCGGACTGAGTCACCCAGGCACCCCACAGTATAGATGATGTTCTATATAGATTCTGAATGCAACGTCATATTCTCCATCAAGTTTTGATAAAGCATTAAAATATGGGCCATTACAACATGTAGAATTATCTAATTCATATTCTAAAAAGTACCCTGTGAATTTAACTCATGTATCATTTGATGCTATGAGACAATTAAAAAGTTTTTAAAAGGAATTCTAGCTTCCTAACAACACTCTTATAATTAATGTTAAACACTGAATTAACTTCATTTTGTCTATGAACTGCAAATAATTTTGGACAAATTTAAAATTTAAACTAAAATGTTTTAGTTTAAATAAGTCATGTTACCTTTCCTTATTGCCTCAAATGCTCTGACAATTTTTTAGCTCATCAATTCACTATGTTTTTGTAGACATAACTCTGGATATTTCTATAATGTGACTATTGGGAAAGCATTTAAAGTTCTAAAATGGATACAAACCATTAAATATATACATATATACATACACATACATACATATTTTTTAACTCCAGAAAAGGAGCAAAATAATATTTAATGACCAACCTCATGAAAGTTATGTGGACAACGAATGTTAAAATTGATGGCTTTTTTCCCTTTAGGACTTATTTTTATTTTCTGCCTCTGTCTGCATTTTAAAATTCACTATCTACTTTTTGTATGGTGATTTGTCTAGTACCTAAGACTGGCTATTGCAAAAAGTGTCACAGAGTCGCTCTCTTAACACTAAATTATCCTCATTAAATAATATCCAAAATTGAGAGGGTTTTGTTTTTCTAGTTTTATCAGGAGGTGCCATTTGTCTCTCATTAAGCTTAATTGCCCCTATACTGTTATCTCACCTTACATAGGGCTCAATGTCACTTTCAATACCAAGTTAGATAGTCAGCCAAGACATTACCTCTTTTATCATTAAGCAAAACTTTACAAACTTCAGATGAAGATAAAAACCTTCTCTTGTCACTTTCTGCTTAATGGCCTTCTTGATTTATTGCTTTAAGGTTGCCTAATAATAATGCCTTCCATGCTCTAGGTACACTTCTTAATGCACCATGGTAGCTGTTGGGCACACTCAGAGGAGCCAGAGCTCCTGTAGGAAGGAAAGTCTACTTTTCCTATTACTCCTATTCCTATTACCTTGTGCATAAAGAAATGTCACAACACAACATTTTGTGTGTGTGTTTGCTTTGCTTGTGCTCAGAATAATGTGTGTCACTACAAAAAGAGAAACAAAATGTATATTCAGCAAACATTCTAGTTAAGAAGATGCAAGAAGGGGTTAACCATCAAGACATCAGGACAATCACCCATTGATTTGTTGCACCATTCATTAGAGTGATGGCAAGTTACTCTCCCAACTTCATCTTGACAATGAACTAGACGCCCTAGTGCAGTAACAGTCAAGGTCTGGATCAAGTCTCCAGAATTTCCTTGGCTCTTTCATATCTACTTCTTTTTTTTTTTTTTTTCAGAATAAAGATGAATACTTTGACTTTCTGTTATTTGAGTGGGGTTTAATTCACTTTTGAATATTTAACAAAAATATCTAGAGTCAGAATCAAATGAGGACGAGAAATATCTATGAGAAAGCAAGCTGTTGCTTTCACAAATGCTTCCTTCTAGCTTGGCTTGCATTTTTGCAATTGCCCTTTTATATGGATTTTTGTCCTCCTGAATGCTGCTTATTTTTAAGTATATTTTTTATATGCTGCAACCCGTCCTTCCCAGACTAGCCTGCTATAGCGCTCTGTTTGTGAAAGCATTATTTTATGTGGATGGAGTCATTAGGAGTTATCTTCAGTCCCAGACCCTTCTGGGCTTGAATCAATGTCGAGGAAGGCCTCCTTATTGGTAAAAGTTGAGCTGAGAGTTATGCTCTGTCGGGGCTTCACAGGTGCAAGTTCATCTAACTTAATATTTTCGTTTTTGACCAGAATTGTCTTATCCATATTTTCTTCACTGTGCCTTGCAACCACAGCATCAAATACATCTAATTTGGGAGGCAAGGTTCCACTCTCAAATAGGTATTTGGCTAGATAGGAGATGCAAATGTTGGATAAGAAGGAGGTAACCATAGAAAGGGTTTTAAATGGAAATCTCTGATTATATATGCCATTCTTATCAGGGTAATAGCCAGGATAAAAGATCAAGGGCTGCAGGTACAGATATGGCTCCCCGCCAGTTATCCTCAAGAAAAGGCCAGACACATAACCTGCCACGGCTCCATACGTGTTGGTTCCCTTGACGAAGAGCACACAGAGCAGCTGCGGGAAGATGATGATGTAAACGAGGTCTGAGCTGAGGTACCAGAGCCCATACACAGTCTTTGTCAGCAAGGCCATGGCTGTCGCAGAAGCTCCAAACACAAACACTGTGATTCGCATGACCCAGATGATTTCCTTGTCTGATGCCTGCAAGAAATTGCCATAGTCACAGATTTTCACAGTGTGCTGGCTCATTTAGGTGAAGAATGAAATGCATTTCTGTGCTTTAAAGCAGGTTCAAATAGCTCAATGAGGGCAAAACCAACCTAAATGACAGTGTAGGAACCAAGAAATCTAGGTGGCTTCCCTGATGGGCCTTTGTGAGAGGTTTTATGTTTTGTGCAGGAAGCACAGGCGAGCTGCACCTTTCCCTGAACATGCAGGGGGAGAGGTGAGAGGAGCTAATGTGCCATCACAGGGGAATAGTAATGCAAGAGGAGATTTCATGTGCTTTTCATATTAAGGAATAGTTCTTATGTGGCCATGAGGATGCATGGCCCACCCTTGTTTCCTCTCTCCTAGGAATTCTACCACCTTTACGGCCAGCCACCTTAAAAACATGTGGGACCATTTTGTTAACTATGACCTAGAAAAACTAGAGAGAGACAGGCCTTAATGAAGGAAGAAGATGGAATGGAGCTCCTGGCTACTCAGTGACACAATAGCACTGTTCTGTACCTATTTTATTCAGTAAGGATAATCACACTGAGAGGTTATTTTCTCACAAACATGGACTTGGGAGTTCAAGTTAAGAGTGGGGCAGATGCTACACAAATGTTCATCAAATAACATACTCACCATGTTCTGCTTCAAGTTTCTTATAGTACCTGATTAAACTCAAAGTTTTTCTAAGATATTTTAGGTTTCATTATTCTTTCATTAGAAAGACAAGAAATGTGAATTATAGTAATATGACTGTAGCTCTTAAAAAATGCTTACGTTGGTTTGTTCCCTTCTGTACTAAAGTGAATAGTAGCATGCATTAAAGACATTCATATACAGCACAAATAAAATTCAGCATTATTTAATCTTGTGTACCTAATCAGAGTAGGGTCAGATTTTAATATGGAATATTAATAAATATATAACATTACAGATACAGTAAATGCAATGATTACAAGAGCAATAATGTTAGACTTGAAAAGACTGTTCTTACATTCTGTCTGAATGAAAGCTGGTAGATGTTCCGGGCAAACATGGAGCTTGCTGACAAGATAGAAGAATCTGCTGATGACATAACGGCAGCAGAAACTGCACCGAGACCAAAGAAAGAAATGTACACAGGGCAGAGGTACTTCAGAACAATTGGTAAAATCATGTCTGCTTCATTGTTGTCCTTGGGATCTAGAGGCCTATATGTAGTCTGGTTCCAGTCTGTTGAATAGAAACAACAGATATAACAACAACTAAAGGGCCATATGTTCTTTATCCACCTGGGGGCCATCCCATTCTCTAGGAAGTTTTAAAATAAATTCAGAATGTATGAATTAGTGTGATCAGAGATGTCTAGTTAGTATAATTATGTATGTTGGTCTAAGTAGGTAGGAAGTCTATGTGCTGTAGGTCAAGTGAAATGGTCTCGTGTACAATTCTGGAAAGTAATCGGTTTTGGTTACCCTTACTCTTATTCACAAGACCTGTTATCTATCTCTATCTATCTATCTATCTATCTATCTATCTATCTATCATCTATCTGTCATCTATCTATCTGTCTATCTATACCTATTAGCTATCTATCACCAGCTATCTATCATCTATCTATCTACTCATTTATCTACTTACCTACCTATTATCTATTTCTCTTCTTCAGTTGTGATATGAAATTGTACAGAATCATAGAAAACATATGTTATAAAACAAAAGCATAGAGTATTTCTTCAGCGAGTTGGAGATATGAGAGGACACTTACTGCTTCAGTCTTTAGTCTCTAGTCATATAAGCATTCACAGATAGACAATAGTGAGGCTATTCTCATCCATTCTCTTCCTGTATATAACCTTGGCTTGGGATCTCCCTCAGCATTATTTTTCTCCCAACTAAATTGCTTCTTGTATTGAATTCCACTTACGGGAATTAGGAGGAATGATAGATAAAGGAAAATCCTTGTTTTATTGAGTAGAAAGTGCAGGTATGAGGCTGACATTTTCAGGAGGTTTTTGAACTCCATGTAAAAGAACTCAAAACATAAAAGGTAAAAGGACTACTGAGAAAGCAGGAGGACATGGGCATCAGAAGTGTATAGGCAATGTTTTGCAACGCATCCCTGGCTAAGTTTGTGGGCCAGGTTGTTAAAAGCAATGAGTCAGTTTGATAGTTGTGAGGATAGGGAAAAAATGGGCAGAGGATGGCAAGTGCTTGATTTTGTTAAAGCAAGAAGTAAAAGGAAGAATCATCATTGGATGCAGTGGTTCGCAAACCTGAATGAACATTGGGATCCCTCATGCATGCCTTTAAAATGCAGAGTCCAAACTCCTATCCTGAAATATTCTAATTGCATATGTCTGAATGATGATAATATTCAGTCAAATCTGGAGATTCACCAAACTATAGTTAATTCAATGCATTGACCTTTGGAGTAAAATTTAACTACAAATATTATCAATTTATTTGATCTTCACAAAATAACTCTGTGAAGCTGACTTAGAAAAACCACATACATAGGGCATCTAGGTGGCTCAGTCAAGCGTCAGACTTTGGCTCAGGTCATGATCTCACAAGTCATGGGTTCAAGCCTTGCATTGGGTTATCTGCTGTCAGCACAGAGCCTACTTCAGATCCTGTGTCCCTCTCTCTCTATGCCCCTCCCCCCTCTAAAATAAATAAATATTAAAAAAAAGAAAAAGAGAAAAACTACATATATAAACTATACAACCATACATTTCCATACAGAGAAGAATGTATATAAATGTTTGAAACAGTTTTTAAAACCACAAAGCCAAAGTAAGCAACATGAAGTTTCTTGAAATGTATAAAAAGTTTTTTGAAAAAATAAAATAGGCAAATGTGCTTTCAAGTTTTAAAATTTGAAACGCAGAAATTATACTTGATATTGATACTATAAAGAAATAAAACACTATTTTTTTTATTTCAGAGAGTTTAAGTTTTTTATTATAATTGAAGGAACTGCATGATCAATTAAACATGGTCAGCATTATTTTTCAGAATTTTCCATCATTTATGCAAGTATATATGTATATATGAGTTACAGTTTATTTAGAGAGAGCATGAGAGAGATTTAAAAAATGTTTTAAATAGGCTAACTGGGAGATAAGAATTTCATAATGCTCTTTTTACTAATTTTGAGTAAATTATTCTCTAAGTGACTTACTGCCTTCAGTTTATCTTTATCTTGCAAACTTATTTACTTATTTCTCCAAGAAAGAAAACTTTTAATTAACAAACTATAAAAATGTAAAGCAGGCATCTCATGTTCAAAGTGGGCCTTAGGTGTCAGGTAAATTTCTAAGCCAATGGCTCTCAACTTGGGCGGCACTTTGACCTACAAAGCAACTTTAAAAAACACTGCTCTCTGACTGCATCTTAGATTATTAAAATAAAATCCCCGTGGGATAGGATAGAAGTAGGTATTTTTTAGGGGAACCTGGGTGGCTCAGTCGGTTAAGCATCTGACTTTGGCTCAGGTCATGATCTCATGGTTTGTGGGTTCGAGCCCTGCATCGGGCTCTGTGCTGACAGCTAGCTCAGAGCCTGGAGCCTGTTTCAGATTCTGTTTCTCCCTCTCTCTCTGACCCTCCCCTATTCATGCTGTCTCTCTCTCTCTCTCTCTCTCTCTCACTCTCTCTCTCTCTCTCGGAAATAAATAAAAGAAAAAAAAAAAAGAAGTAGTTATTTTTAAAAGAATCCCTCCTCTCCCTGGATGATGTCAACATGCAACTTGGTTGAGAATCATTGCTGACAGGATTACATATACACAATTGGTAAGTACACCAGCATGGGGGAGGGGCTGTGCTCATAAATGTTTTATTGGTGAGGAGAGAAACCAAAAACTGTTTGGAGGCATGGAGCTAAAATGCAACTGTTTGAATGCTTTAACAAAGGTCTGTGTATGAATATGATGAGAAACAATCAACTAGGAATGGATAAGAGGGAAAGTGGGGCACGGAGGGAGACTGGGTGGTGATTGGTCACTTCAGTGAAGCCTCAAAGGGTCAATTAGTAAAGTTGTGAGAGATATACCTGTTGATGCTCCGATGGCCCCAATGAGTATGGCTGGTAGAGCCATCACCAGGCAGCCAAAAGCTGCCAGGAATGACAACACTTGAGCATAGGTAGCTGAGGATGAAGAGAGGACCCTCTGGAAGTAGGCTTGCCATGGGATTCCACCCAGCATCTGCATGGGGAACAACAGGGACTCAGATGAATTAGAGGCAAATAACAGCTATTTGGTGTTTTTTAAATAATATTTTTTACAGTAACATTCACAGTAGTCATTTGTATAGCTCTCATCCATGCTAAATATCTTAACTGTGATCATCACATTTTGAAAACTGTACAGCATTTCCTCAAGTTTTTTGCTTCATAATTACATAACACAATCTTTTCTATTCTTTAATTTCCCTACTTTAAGCTGCATTACAACTCTCAGAACCCTAAACTTTGTTTTCATATGGAGGTTCTTTTTAAAAAAATTTATTTACTTATTTTGAGAGAGAGAGAGAGAAGCATGGGGGAGGGGCAGAGAGAGAAAGGGGGGGAGAGAGAGAGAATCCAAAGCAGGCTCCATGCTGTCAGCACTGAGCCTGAAGTGGGACTTGATCTCATGAATCGTGAGATCATCACTTGAGCTGACACACCAAGGGTAGGTTGCTCAACCGACTGAGCCATACATGGGGGATGTACTTAAAACTCTTACTGAGGATATGAATCATAAACATTTTGGGACAGTGAACTATAATGTAATTTGTTGTCTGCTATAAAGAAGTATGTATGGGAAGAAAAATGTGAAACAATTATTTAGGGTAACAGAGGGAAGGGGAAAGGTAGGCAGACTGACAGCTGCATGGCAATCAGGAACACCTGCAGGAATGACAGGGAGTCAGTTCTGAAGCATTGATAAGGTGTCACTATGTGGAGATGCAGAGAGAAGACAGCACCTGGTAAAGAATCCGGTGTGAAAATGGGAGAAAGAAAGAAAAAGCAACGAAGCAGCTATGAGATCACTGTGTCTTTGTCTTAATGAATGATAGGGTGTGTGTGTGGGGGGCATCTAGAGAGGAGGCTGGAGAATACTTTCTCCTTGATTACTGCTATGGTCCTTTGACTCACATACAGTCACTGTTCATGAGTGAACTGGTGAATGAATTTCCCATATCACAAAGTATTGAAGTTGTTTCTTTAATTGCCTCTCACTGGGCTCTAAATTCTGGGATGTATTGTTTATCATTATCACACCTGTACCAATGTGAGTGCCAGCCCAAGAAAGGATCAAAATTCAAAGTATGGTTTCTACTGAATGCTATCACTTTCACACCACTCTAAAGTTGAGAACCTGTTAAATCAAGACTGTATGTATATTATTAACATTTTCTATGCCAATGAACATTCATCAATAATTTAGATGCTTATATGAATCTATACACCATCATTTACATGCTGATCTCTCTGGACATTTAAGTCACCAGGGCTTTGTAAGTGAAGTGAAATCAGACCTCCACAGACAAACAGAAGGTCTGATGGTGAGGAGGAAGATGGGTTTGGAGAAGTGAAACGTGAGTGGGCTGCTGCAGGGAGACCATGAAGGGCTATCACAACAGGCCAGGTAAGGAATGCTGTCAGTGAGCAGGTTCAGGGTGGGGCTGGGGGATACCTTGAAGGTTTCCAGAGCAGGAACCCATAAATCATTTATGACAAATGGAAGTTCAGAGTGAAAATTGGAAGGTTGGAGACCACTGGTGAAACGTTTGGAGGCTTCCTTCTACAGTTCAGTCCTTCATTCATTCATTATCTATTATTGCATTTTCACTTCTGTTACATTTTGAAGAATGAGCATAACTTAGTCATATAACTTTTTGAAGTGGAAGAAACCTTAGCAGTCATTAGACATAATGCCTTATATTCAAGATCCGTTAAATCAGAGGACTAAAGTGTGGTGTAGAAAAAATAATTTTTGGGTCTTGATTCTCTATTTCAATCCTTCACTCAGAGAATTGTGTGATTATCAACAAACTGCCTATGTTCTCATAGTGCCATAATCTCCTCCATGTAACCATAAGTAGTATATCTACCATGCAGATATAAGTTCATACACACATAGTATTTAACCCCATTCTCCATTCAATTCATAATTAAAATCCAATCTAGAAAAATGTCAGCCAATATATTTCTTAACAATCCTTGGGAAAGAAGCTCTTCTCGCCACCACTGAAAACAACTTGTTTTCCTGTTTTCCTGTCTTGTTATCAGGAAATTCTTTACTGGGACAGACATATATACCTTCACGGCTGAAATTTAGCAAAGTGCCATAATGACAAAGTGAAATCAGAAAGTATTGTGAACTCTTTAAAAAGGAAACAAAACCAATTTCCCCTCAATTGTGATATAAATATTAATCTATTTCTTAGTGTTGTATTTTTCTAAGTAACCACTCCAAGTAGCAAAATCACAATCTCTGGCAGTTTCTTTTGGTTTTCCTGTCTTTCCTCAATCTGTGATCTGCCTTTATATCTCCTGTGCCCCACTGTTCATTGCCAACAGCTTCACCCCAAAGTTCTGCCAAGTTCGTAAGCTGTCTCTGATGTCCCAAGACTTCTTTCCTGACATCTTTCCTGAGAGACACCTCCTTTCGCAATTCCTGTCTGCACTAAGGGCCTTTTGGCATGACTAATTTACTTATTAAGTAATTAGATACTGAATGGGTCACTTATTTCAGAAGAAGTTGGTTGTAATGCCTTAACCCAAAATACAAATTAAAACTTTTAGAAGGCTTGACTTCGGACTGGGGAGGGACCTGGGGGGTAGGGCCTAGTGTTCTTCACTTGTAGGACATCACAAATGGGGACACACCATATATTACCCTATGGACATTGTCTCTTGAAGGCTTCACTCTCTCTCCACTTTGACACTAATCAGCTGCCAAAGCCAGTAATTAGATCCAGCCTTCCAACAGGAAGTAGTCAGTGCAGAAACAGACATAAGCTAGTAGGTAAAATTTATATGAAAGCCTTCAAATCTTAAAAATGCATTTGATTTTAGGAAAAATGAGACTACATTCCTTAGTTAAGGGCATTACTTACCAACAATAGAAAACTATCAAGCCAAGTGTAGATTTCAAATGATTCAATGGTCCCCAGCCAAGGCTTTTGGTATTTGGTGTGAAGAGCAGTGTACCCAATGTCGGCAACTGCAGAATGTGACAGGGCGAAGGGGACACTGATCCACTGCAACCAAAGAGGGACAGGAGAATGTTAAGCTATGATTTTTACCTGTCTAATATATGCAAGGTTTAGCCACGTATGTTGTTTTCCCATGGACCACTTAGCTCTGTTGTTCCTCTTGTTGAGACACAGAAGATCTTGGAATCAAGTTCTCTGTGGGATGCCATGAAATACTTATTTACAAAAGTTAGAGTAGCATATTATCTACATCTGTGCTTAATTACATTATATCTTATCAAATATAAGAGCAGTCAACAAACCTTTGCAAGAAAACATGAAAATTGAGAACATTAAATATATTGATATATAAACACTGTTTGTTTTCTTTGAATTAGATGTCCAATTTTTAAAGTGACAAGGAAAGGCCTGATTGAGAATTTGATGGGTGAGACAAAGCTTCAGGGGTGAGTCTAGTGCTAAAACAAGAAGAAGGAAGTGAATGGGGAGACCGTCTATGTGGAACAAGGCAAAGAGGAATGCACACACATATGTTTGGTGACAAGTGGTTAAGGGAAATGGGACAGATAAACATAAATATATGGAGAGAAATCTGAATTGCAAGCTGAGGGATTTTTGTTTTGTTTTGCAGGCAACTTGAAGCTAGAGGCATTTCTTCTAAGTTTTTTTTTTTTTTTTAAAGTCTTAAGTTAGTTAATATACAGTGTAAAAGTAGTTTCAGGTGAACAATTAAATCCTTACAACACCTGGTGTTCATCACAGGCAGTGCCCTCCATAATGCCCATCATCTGTTTCATCTATCCCCTCACCTACCTTCCCTCTGGTAACCATCGGTTTGTTCTCTATAGTTAAGAGTCTGTTTCTTGGTTTGCCTCTGTTTCTATATGTTTGTTTTGTTTCATAAATTCCACATATGAGTGAAATTATATGGTATTTGTCTTTCTCTGACTGACTTATTTTGCTTAACATAACACTCTCTAGCTCCATCCATGTCATTGCAAGTGGCAAGATTTCAATCCTTTTTTATGGCTGAGTAATATTCCATTGTATATATGGGGCACATGTTCTTTATCCATTCATCAGTCGGTAGACATTTGGGTTCTTTCCATAATTTGGCTATTGTAGATAATGATGATGTAAATATCAGGGTGTATTTATGCCTTTGAATTAGTATTTTTGTATTCTTTGAGTAAATACCTAGAAGTGTGATTGCTGGAATACAGGGTAGTTTGATTTTTAACTTTTGGAGGAACCTCCATACTGTCTTCCAGAGTGGCTGTACCTGTTGCTTTCTCACCATCAGTGTAAGAGGCTTCCCCTTTCTGCACATTCTCACCAACACCCGTTGTTTTTTCTGAGTTTTAAAAAGAGTTTAGTAGACTTCTTCTGCGTTTTAATTTCTAGATGTGAACAGTGAGGTTAGGAGAAGGAGAAGTCACAAAAAGCAGTAGGTACGCTAATATGACTCCGGTAAAGGCTTAAAATAGAACAATGAAATTGGAAATAGAAAGACACTGGCACCAAAAAGGATTATGAGGAGAGATTCAAAAGCCCTTAGATTACAGTGGGAAAAGAGGTCAGAGAGGGAAAATAAACAGATGAACCTCCAGTTTACAGTTGTGGACCTCCAAGGATAGTGATAAAATCAACAAAATTGGAAAATTTGAGAAAAGGAATTGGTAAGGTGTGAATTGATTCATTAATTACATATGCACGTATAGCCATTTGAAGGTTGGAAAACAAACCATTCTTGGCCTTTTATTCAGTCAAATCAATCGACTCTTGACTAATAACCAAGACAACTTGATTCCTTATCAGCTTAGTGTCATTTTGTAGCAGAAAAGCACTCTAACATCTATCCCCACATATATTTGCCCTGCCATCTTTGTACTGACATGCTTGATTTAAGCACCTGTGCATTTTAAGTTCTGGTCTCATGCAAAGCAATGAGAAATTACATTTAACATCAACAAATAGCTTCATCCCCTGAGGTCGTGTTTGTTAGAATACCAAGTGCATCAACTATGAGAGCTGTCAGTGCCATACCAACCTTGCCTCCAAAGTTCTGAACAGAGATTTATTTCTGGAAGTGTATGATGATGCTAAAGAGAATTCCGAATTTCAGCACTGCCCACTTGCTTTTGGCAATTTAAAAATAAAAAAAAGTAGAGTCATTGAACAAATTAAATATATTTGAATTCAATTAAAATACAAGTGAATGAAGTTCCATGAAATGCACATAGATTTTAGGGGGGAAAGAGGATATATTATGATCATTGCTAGCATATGTTAATTTGTGCTTGAAATATAACTTTAATTGTAGTAGGTTCTTTAAATTTTTCCCTCCATTATTAATGGTGATAGAAACAAAAAACAAAAAACAAAAAAATGAGTCTAAGATTCAACTTCATTTTTCATTTCTGACTGTCTAGTGTAAACACTAACATAGGTTGAAGAGCTTTTCAATATGAGAAAAATAAGGAAAAAAGAGGAGGCTGAAGGGTGCTTTAATCATCTGTGGAAAGTAAATCATAATGTGCAGTCTTAGCATGCTCTATCCATGGACTTTCTACAAGAGCACCTCCCCTATAGGCTACACAGCTGAGATAACATACACATGTCTGAACTCAATACAGTGCCCGGACCAGGGTGGTCACACTATTTCCTCAATAATTCTTTAGATATGTCTCAGGTCTTGGATATTATTATATGAATAATAATACAGTCTTCACATTTTAAGATTTTGAGTTTACAAAGGCTCAAGATTGACTAAAATGTGCATGTAAAATACAAAAGCACTTTTAATACCAATTATATTCATGTCTTATAATTCAGTACTTTTTACTGAATAAACATACATATATGACCTAACTTAATTGAGGGCTTACAAGCAATACATAATAAATCTCATGCTTTTTCTTTGTTTTTAGACTCCAAATAGTGATGATAAATATTGAAACCCATAGTTTTTTCAATGGGATAGTTTCTGTTTTATGAGCGTCTTATGTAATTAGAACTAATACAAGGAAAGGGTAAGAGACTAATGCAGGTAAGCACTAACATTGTCATTTTAACTCTGTGTAAAGTATTGTTTGCCTTCAAACTCAAGGAAGAGTATATAAAAGTTTCCATCAAATGTGGGCATGAAGGAAAGGAAGTCTTAGACCTTTTTAAGAATTAAATTGAAGGCATATTTTCTGTCAAAATTCAATTAAATGACTATATGTTTTCATCCAATTAATTCAATGAGAAATTTAAAGTTTCAAATGGCACATGACTTACTATATATTACTCATGTTGGAAAATAACATTTCTATTCAATTTTGTTGAGTTAGTATAAAATACCACATTATCTTTTAGAAAGAAGAAGGAAAGGAAAGTAAGAAAAAACAGTCTGTGAATAGCCCCACTTACCAGGCCTATGAAGATGCAGAAAAGCTGAACTACATCAGTGTAGGCCACGGAGTAGAGACCACCCACCAGTGTGTACAGAGTGGCAATGAGAGCAGAAACAATGACAGAAGCTTGCACATTGACGTTAATGATCACGCTGATGGTGGCTCCTAAATAAAGCAGACCAGAGAATGCTGTGGTCAAGGTAATCAAATGGATTCCACTTTCTGTTCAAGGATATGTTGAATGTTCAGTACCAGCAGGTAGTGCTCCTGTCTCATGTGAAATGTATTGGATGATAACAGCCAAAGTGAATTTTCATGTTGAAGTCCTAAAATCTATAAAATATTCTTCCTTCCTGAAATTGGTGCTTTGGTAACTTACATATGTAGGGACACCCAAAATTGATGATATGACCTCAGAATTCCATGAAATATATTAAATTTAATACTATTATAAGAACTTACTGGGGCACCTGGGTGGCTTAGTTGGTTAAGCATTCGACTTTTGGTTTCAGTTTAGGTCATGATCTCATGGTTAGTCAGTTTAAGCCCCTTTTTGGGCTCTGCAGTTGGCAGTGTGGAGCCTGCATGGGATTTTCTGTCTCTCCCTATCTTTCTGCCTCTCCCTTGCTTGCACTCCTTCTGTCTCTCTCAAATAAATAAACTTTTTTAAAAAAGAACTTACAATAATTTTACTAGCTATCTGAACAGACTTTAAATTTATACAATATATTTACTCATATTCATGAGATAAATCACCAGTTTCCACATTTTGCAATTAATATTCATTTTCCATTTGGCATTAACTCTGACCTTTGATAGCTTTTCATAATGACAGATGGTATAAAGTGCCAAGGTTTAAGACAACTTTGTAGGAGAAAATAATAAAACTGGTAAAGTTAATCCAGTCCTGCTGCTAGGACACCAACATATTGAAGAACCCTAGATTTCAACATTGTATTTTTAAGTAATTTTCCTTATCAGAATTTTAAAACTGCCTTAGAAAAAATTATGTTTTTCTTACTTTCTGACTGCTTATGTGTTTTTGGTGTCTCTATTTCCAATGAGAATATGAGGATATGGACACTGGACCACTGTGGATGTTGGACTTCCAGTTCAGAATTTACCTGCCACTTTACAAACCATTTCTTCATTGTTCTCAAAAGTTACACAGTTTATGTCTTATATTGTTAACACAGCAATTATAGGAATACCAGCATATGTGCAACAAATCTGCAATTTTTTTGTATCATTAATTGCAATCTTATGTTCTGCTACTATTCCTCAACAATATAAAATATTATTCAAAAAATTTTTCTTAGTTCTTTGCCTTTGGTAATAAAATTAAATTATTTTTATGATTAAAAATGAATTAATAAAAGGAAAAGTATAGTATTGGAGGATGAAGATGAGGGAAGATGGTCAATTTGGATCAGTCCAAAGGTGATGACTTTGGATAATGGACTGAGTTTTTGCTTCATGTTGAAACTTTAGTTGCAATTCTTTGCCAATCTTCATTTGGTCTGGTTCTCAATTTTAACAACATTTCTAAGTTATATCTCAGGAATTATGACAAGTCCAGTTATTACACTGCCTCTTTGGGCTCCTGTTTAATTTTCTACCGATTCATGACATTTTTATTAATTCCATACCTCCAAAAGTTAGGAAGGGAGGCTATATGCTATAGAAGAAAGATCACTGAACTAGGATTTTAAAGAAATGGATCCTGGTAAATACTGCCATTTGCTTGTAACTCAGTGGTTTTAAAGAAATCACCCACTTTTCTATCACTATTAAGATTGGGATTATTTTTTTTTCCTCTAAAATATTTTCTAAATAATTCCATCATTTGTAGTAACTAAAATTGAAGTTACACTTTCATATCTGCTGTGAAATATTAGTTTACTCATGAAGCCATTAAAATAAACCCACAATAAAGTTATAAAAATTCACTGAATTTGATCTGAGTAGTGTAAATATACATTTCCTTAAAAATGTATGTAAAGGATGTTGTCCAATTATGACAAGGGCATACTTTAAAATTCTCCTGTTTCAGCACATTCACAGGAAGGTGATAATAGATGTTATATTTGTTTACTCTTAAGTATTCCAAGTTATTTCTAATAAGCACTAATTTTGAATTATGTCCAACTATTATTTTTGATGAAAATATGTGTTAATTTAAAAATACACATTCTCTTTACCAGAGCATATATTTCAAGCAATAGGAGCAATGTGTTTTATACATGTACATGTTTTTGATATATGTGTGCATCTCCATAGGGAGGGATATATAGATATCAACACACTTTACATACTTTGTGACATAACACATAGGTGTAGACACACACATACACATATACAATAATAACTAACTGCAGAAAAGTTCAAAGTTTGGTTCAAGTTTATATTTCCAAAGTACTTTAGAAATATTAGTTTATTATTTCAATTCTCCCTTCAGGGCTCTGTTGTATAAATTGATCTGTATTCCATGAGAGTGAACATTTTGTATTCATTCTGTTAGCTATTCAGCCCACTCCTTTTTAAATATCTCAGCAGGCAGTTTGTTCTTAAAATCAACATTTTCTAGTGTTGAAACCAATGACAAACTACCATTGCTTCTTGGCTAATGAGAGCAAGGTGGGAAAGGAGACGTATTTTTACACATAATTTCATTAGGATATAAGTGCAGTGGTAGTTGTGGAGTATTATTTTACAGTACCAAGAAAGTGAAACATTTTCCACTGAGTTATTACAGTTTTTTATAGCTATCAAACTCTTTTCTACATCAAATCATCCCTTCATTTTATAGTTGGAGACCAAGAAGATAAGATTATATGGGAGTTTGAAAAATAATGGCATGAAAGGTAGTATAAACTAATATCTGACATTACAGGGGTCAGATGTGATGATAATACTGAATCAGAAGATAAGTTTGTAGTCAAGAATAGAAGGTGTATATTCACCTTATCTTACTTTTTCTTTGACCACTTAGGATCTAGCTATAGACATAAGCCCTTTATTTTCATTTATAAGAAGAAATGGAGAGAAACAATCATGGATTCCTGGATATCAAACAGGGACATAGCTCACTGAGGAAGGCTGTGGAACTTCCAACTCTATTAATCATCAAGAAGGAACTCAGCACTCAGTGAAATGGTTTCTATTTCCCCTTGATAAAAAGTCAGGTTATTGAGCCTGACCAATCTCCCACCATCTTGTTTTCTAAACCTTGCAAGTGGGCTGAGAACCGATGGGCCAAGTATAGGTTGTTCTTAGCATTAATTGGTCTTGGTAGTAAGTTAGGTCCTAAGGAGTCTAAGTTTATTTTCTAGATCTCTAAACATATCTACAACCCAGTATTTTAGGATGTACTAGGATTACACTGAGAAAGGAAATGTTGTTTTTCTTCTTTTGAAGAAAGTATAGCCATAGGTGACTCATTCATTCATTCGTCATAAGATTACAACTTTTAACAATACACAAGTCCTACATTTAAAAAATTTAGAATCCCCTTTGTGAGGTTAGATTTGGGCATGATATAGATAAATAGGCACATAATAATACAAAGTAACAAGTTCAATGAAAATAAAACCTTAGGTGTCTAAGGAAGCCCATAGAAAAAGCATCTGGCAAGGTCAGGATTACTGGTCCAAAGAAGTGACATCTATAAGAAGACTGAAGGACATTTCCTGGTTAGCTAGGCAGAAGTGCAAAATGAAAGGGTAGAAAGGAGTTCAAAGCAGAGGGCACCTGGGCTTGCACAGTGTCAGAGGCAAGAGAGGAGATCTATAATTCTGAAAAAGTAAGGAGGGTGTGTGTGTGATGAAAGGAACCAGAGCCTATGTCATAAAAAGTTTTATGGGTCCACTTCAAAGTTTAGAAGGGGAAAATAAAGGGACATGATCAGATTTCAGTTTTAGAAGGATGAGTCTGGCTACCATGTGTAGACTAGAGGAAGAGGAACCTGATGAACCATAAGCAGGGAGATGGTTGTATTAATTCAGGTGAGAGAAGCTGCAGGTAGCCTGGCCTGTGATTGAAGGAAGTAAGAGGCAGAGGTCCTTACCTAAGGCAGAGAAAATGGCTGCAGCCCAAAACATTTCTCCCATTAGCGCAGGAATAAATAGGAGCCCACCCATGCGCTTTCCATAGATCTGCTGAAACGGGTCTAACATGGTCACATATCCTTTGGAACGCATAGGCTTTGCAAAGAACAAACCACCTAAAAGATATTAAACAAGTGTTTATGAGAAAATAAAAAATTCATAATATAATAGTTTTCGCCAACATTATATTAGTTTCTCAAGGGAAATAAATTTTTTAGACATTTTATATGTGTGGAGGAACCAGCCTGAAATACACTGTGAATGCAGAACCAAGACATACTTAGCAACCAAACATGACTTTCTTAATAAATTTGTCATTGTATGCATTCAAAGGGCCATTGAATGGTATATCTGAGGCATGTGGATTGAAAAACATGACCAGCATGGCACTCACTAAAATGTCTTTGTATCACCCAGCATAACATTTAGACCCTGATTAAGCACAAGATCCAATAAAAGTATTTTAAGTTCAAAAAACATTGGGAACTCTGTTATATAATATTCTTGACCTTTTCTCAGTTTAATTTACAAAAAGCAATTCAGGTACAATTCAAGTTGATTCATTGTTAATGATATCTCTACACTATTTTTGAAAGAAAAAAATTGTACACTAGGAAATTGACTATTCTCTTGCCATCAGATCAAGGGACTAAAATCATATTCCATAATCAAGAGATAAAATAATCTAAGCACTAGTGTTACTGATTCTTTTTAATAGCTACTTGAGAGAACTATGATAACCCTTTTTTCTACAATAGTTATTCACAGTTTGACTTGTTATTTCACTTGTTAGTACTCCTGTTCTTTATGCTTTACTAAGTGCGACACTAAGGTTTAAACTTTCACTTACCTAAAATCAGGCTAAGAGAATATCCAATTGGTGCCTGAGCCCAAGCTAGACCATAGTCTGGTACATACACTGCTTCAGCTGTCCCATTGATGTAACCTCCTCCGACCCAGGTGGCTGAAATAGAATGAAGAATGAGAGAAAGATGCTGCCAGACCCGTCATACCCCAGACCTGCTCAGGTTAACAAAGTGGCCAGTAGCCTCCTGTGACTGCTACACACATGAAATGTGGCTAGTCTGGATTGAAGTGTTCCAAGTATAAAATAGACATTGGATTTCAAAGACTTCATATGCGAAGGTGAATGTAAGATGTCTCAATAATTGTTTTGCATTAATTATATGGTGAAATGGAAACATTTTCAGTGTATTGAGTTAAATACATTCTCTTATTTAAATTTATTCCTCTACTTTTTAATGTTATTTACAATGGTTTGTAGAAAATTTAACATTGTGACTCACATTGTATTCCTATTGGACAGCATTGCCCTGTCTTTGCTGAGTCCATTTAGTCATCAATACTTTAAAATGATATTGTTATATTCCAAAGTCTGAGATTATATATAAAATATTATATGCCTATTTCTAGTCTCAATAATACTACAACTTCCCCCCAGACTCCAGAACATGAAGTCAAGTTTCTTTATTTTAAGATTTTTTGTTTTAATTGCATTGATCTTTTCACATGGATCATGATTATCTTCCTCAAGGAGGGGGCAGGGGGATGTGTGTGCAGTTGTGTATGTATGTGCTGCTTTTAAATTTTATTTTTAATTAATAGGGTTACTTCTTAAATACTCTGTGTACATAGGATTTTGGCAGAGATGTTCTCCATCCTAGCATTACTTACTTTCTTAAATTATTAAGGGAGGAATGATAATTTTACTCCAAGGTGTCCAAAAGTGAGTTTAAATTATCTTTTTCCTCCTCTTCCCGAGTACCCAACATACACTTAGGACCTGGACGGACATTAGAATTTAAATATTGACTGCATACCCACTTGCATTCTTTGTTCTAATTCTGGTTTTTTAGTAAGATATTTGATATTTCTTGGAGAATAATAAGAAATATGTCTTCTTCAGATGTTACTTAATAGAACAAAACAACTGAAGGAAGAGGTCAAGGAACCAAAGAAAACACATGTTGGTTAAGCGAGTTTAGGCCAAGAAGGCCTAAACTCTACAATTTTCTCTGAGAAGGCAATATCTTATTTGCTTCTTCCTGAAACACTTAGGTCCTTGTAAATTTTAAATTGTTTATTTACTTTTGAGAGAGAGTCCTTGTAATTTTTAAAATGTTTATTTACTTTTGAGAGAGAGTAGGGTAGAGGGAGAGAGAGAAAGGGAGACAGAATCTGAAGCAGGCTCCAGACTCTGAGCTGTCAATACAGAGCCTGACATGGGGTTCAAACTTGTGAACTGTGAGATCACAACCTGAGATGAAGTTGGACGCTTTACTGACTGAGCCACCCAGGTGCCCCAAATCTTTACAGTTTATATCCTTTAAGAATATTGCCAAAATATTTAAAACAATCCCTAGTAGAATGTGTGTAAAATTATGCAGAACATGGGCTTACATATCATATATGAGTCTGAATTATAGGCTATATTATCCAATTGGGAATAAAATTTGACTCTGAAAAGTTCTCTGAAATCTCAAAATTAGAATGTAAGTAAAATATTATGTATATGAAACTATCAAAGACAGGTGTTTCCATTGTGTTCATGCCAAAATTTACCTGGCTTTTAATCCAGATACCAAGCAAAGAAGGGAATGTTTTAGGATTAGTATTTTTTTAAAGGTTAACATGAAAAGACCTCCGTGGAAAGGAATCCTAAGCACATTTAAATAGACATACAAAATCTTAAATTAGACAAATATGCATATAGCAGCCACTTTCATCTGCTTGCTAGCTTTCATTTGGTTGTGAATAAATGACAAATGCTATTATTTGTTTTTCTAATTTTAAGTCCTCCAGGAAATTTAAACAGGGTTTCCTCTCTCCACTGTGTGTCTAATTAGGACTTGAAGAAATGATTTTCACAGGTATAGAATCAGACTTGATTCTCCTTCTAGGCAACTGAATCTCCTAACAACATACTAGCAGTGTTTCATTGCATAAAAGAAATGGTCTTACAAGCACAAAGCTTGTAAGTCATCATTTTTCATTGTGTAGATGTCCTCTCCCTTGTCCAAAAACAAAATTGGTATCTGAGTGATTGTAAACATTATAATATAGAAGTGAAGACTTGGTTGCTTATCCTGGTTAAGTCCCTCCATTTTTATCAATCTAGTCTCTTCTACACCAGGATTTGTTTGCATGTTTGTTTATTGCATGTCAGATTCATCAGAGAGGCCAAGAATTCTTTTAAACTAATACATTTTTATTTTTTAATCTTTATTCTTTATCAAACATATATGATCAATGAATCTGACAAAGTTTAGATAATATGGTTCAGATTTTAAATGAATTATGATAGTGACCAAGATTCTTTACAGTTCTGAAAGATTGAAAAAAATCTTTAAAAATTGAGCTAGACTATGACACTTCATATGAAGTAATCACGATTCAAATTTTTCTATACACTTTAAAAAAACCATTAGGTTGAAATAATCATTTTAGATCATAAAAGAACAAATTCTGAAATATTATTTTATGAACACAATAGAGCTAATATTAAACTAGAGTCATAGAGCACTATAATAACTTTCAATGAACAAAAACTTTGATGTACAGCAGCTCATTTATTCTTTTCAACAATTTTTTGAGTGAGATCAACTTTTATTGTTTTATTTTGCTTTTCTTCTCATTTTCTGCATACAGGAAAAACCTGAAGGGAATATAATCTGAATGTTTTGATGCACTTCAGATGCCAGTATCACATCTGGATCTTTAGGGTCAAGAAGAGGTTTTTGTGCTTATAATGAAAAATGAAAATTAAGATGTAAAGTTGTGCATGGTATGCATCAGTAGGTGGATAATAAGAGAAACAATATCTGAAAATCTATACCAACATTTCAGGAAACATAGGCAAATGGTAGGGCTATGGATGATTCTTAATCTTTATGTTTTCCTACTTATCTGTGTATATTAGATATCACAGAAAATAGTTTGCACAATACAGTTTGTCCTATATATGTGTGTACACAGAAAAATTGAGACACAGAAGGTAAAAAAGGACCTCTTTACAAATGTTGTGCCTTTATAAAGAGAGGAAGCAAAGCCAGCTGGAGGGCTGTATGTGGTGCATTGCAGACAGGCCCCAAGGTATGGTTGCCAGAAGACCAGGGTTTGGTGCTGACTCTGGTCCTTACTTAATCCCAGAGCCCTCATAGTGCTCATGTATAAAGAGCCTCATAATGATCATATGACACCATATACAGTTGATGAAGTGTTAAAGGAACATAAAATGTATATGTCTGAAAAATAAAGCCTATGGTTCCATAAATTATTCTAGAACATTTTAGGTTTCAGATGGCTGGCAGGGATGCAGTCTTCACAGATTGCACTATTCTGTTACACGATTTCATATACGGATGAATCATGTTTAAATAGCACATCAGGACTGGGTATCATTTGGATATAATTTCTCATGGGATATTTTCCAATGGGCCCTCAGAGTTCTGGTTAGTCTGGATTATGTTGCTAATGTTTAAAAACCTAGTAAGAATCAGAAGTAAAATGTGTATTGTTAGTGAATACATAGCAAATAATATTAAAGATATAATTTTAAATTGTTGTTTTTCAGCAATATTTTCAACAACCAAGAATATAAAAGAGAAACAAGTCACCACTTGAACAGAACCACCTTTATGCACAGAAGGAAAGATAACAGCCTCTCTGAGCCCAGAGGGGGTTTGAGTAGGAAAGGGCTGCAGACTTTGGCTAAGCATTCCTGTTAGGACACGCCCTAACATTCCCCCTTTTATATTAAGCCTTCTGGAAATCCTTGTTGTTGTTTTTTATCCCCAGTGCTATGGATTCCTAACATGTGATTGTGTTCCTCTGAGGAAATTAGTTTATTAAATGGGAGGATTAGGTTTCAAAACAGGGCATCTATCAATTTGCAATTGTGTTGCCCCTAATTGATTCATTCAGTTGAAAACCATCACCAGTTAATGTTCATTGACATTCATCATTTAAGACAACACAAAGTCACAACTTCGTGCCTGTATTAATGAACATGATGACACACTGACTTTATCACGTAGCTTGTAAGACTAAGGACACTTTTCTCCTTTGTTTTTATTCTGTTCCCACCCACTGAGCTGTCCAAATCGCCCAGATTCATTTCATTGATATTCTGTCCAGCGATTTATTATAAAATCATTTTGTTCGAGTACTACAGAGTTGACATCCATTTATTTTTGTTTCAAAAAAAATGTAAAATTAATTTTAGAATATGTAATTAACGAGCATAAAGAATCCCCAAAGGACAAAGGCTGTTTGCTTTGTCACTCTGAGAAGCTAAGGAGGGGTGGGCAGCATGGAGCAGAGGCATCAGAACCTACCTGTCATGGTAAATCCACCCACCAGCAGACCAATGTCTCTGCCCCCAACTATGATGGCCTCGCTGCGCTCTTCTGAGCTGCCACTGTTTTTGGTTCTCCAGGCAGCCCATATTCCAACCAGCAATATTAGAAGGTAGAACACGATGATAGCAATCAGTCCTTCCACATGGAAAGCCATTTTTATCTAGGGGTCCAGATTCTTCCACAGTGAGCTACTTCATTAAGATTTCTGAAGAAAATACAGTAATGCATTATAAACCAGCCAAGCATGCATAGGCAGCTGGAAATAAACCAGCTGGCTCATGAGAGATCCTGGGCCACTTACAGAAAAAGCACATTGAAATTGCATATGACACTAGCAATTGCCAACAAATGTCCACTATTTTATTCTAATTAGTATTTATTTAACAGTTTAACATTGTTTTGAGCTTTCAAGAAGAAGAAAAAAATAGAAACAGCTGTTTACCAAATGTAATCACGGCCACTTTGTGCTTAAATAAATTCTTTCAATTTAAAATTAACCTTGTCTTGTACCTTAACTCAGTAACTCAGTCAAGAAATCATTTACAAAGAGGACATATCCGGCTTTTGGAACTTTTGGAACCGGCTTTTAGATAGTAATTCTATCTAAAATTTTTCAGTAATGTAAAGGGATTTGTAAGACTACTCTGAGAATTCTAACATATTCTTACATTCAGTCATCCATTCATTCCTCCCTCTCTCCTTTCAAACAATTGTACGTAATAGTTCCAACAGTAATGTGACATACAAATATCTGGGGGAAAAACTTTAGGAAAACCAGTTTCAAAAGCACATCAACTCCAATTTTCAACAAGTGCTCGTGATCCAAGTTACTGTAGCAACTAAAGACTGTACATTGTTTAAAGAGTGCACCCTCTCGCCAGCTCTTCTTGCTCTTCCATTGTTCTTTGCTCCTTTCATCTCTTCCCCACCCTCTTAATGGTACGTACAAGAAAACAATTTAAAAATACAGTATTGCCTAAAAATATAAGAGGGCGTCAAAGGTATTAAAAACAAGACATAAAAGACAGATGTCAATTCTAAAGCCTTCACTTTCTGGAATTCTTGTTCTCTGTTTTTTTCAACCCTCGTGACCACGGCTATTTCATGCACTCGAGTTCACACAAGCCCGCTTCTGGGGGGAATGCAGGTGGGTGGTGAGTCTTTGGGTCAAAGAATTAGCCTCCATCGAATTCAGCAGAAGCGAAAGCAGCACGGGCTGGCTGGGTGCGCTCCGCCTTTGTGAGCAACCGGGCTGGGAAGTTCTTTCCAGGGCCCAGCCTGGGGGGATCCCAGCCCCTCCCCACCCGCCAGCCCTCCAGTTACCCCTCGGTCCCTCTCCTGCGCCCAGACTTTCCCGCCGCTGAAGCCCAAGAGCCTTGGGTGCCAGACAGCGGACCCGCCCGCGCATCCCCGCCAAGAGGCAACAAAAGATGCGTCGTTCCGACCTAAAACGCCGGCTGGGCGGCCACCTGTCCCCGAGGGAGCGGGCTCCGACTCGCCGGGGATGCCCGAGCTGCTCCTACCTGGAGTGGTTGCCGCACGGGGAAGTGCTCCGCCGGCTGGGGCTCTCTCTAGTCGGGACCGCCGCCCAGGCACCTCGGTGGTTGGGGGCTGCAAGGGTGCCGAGGGAGGGGGTGGGTCAGGGGTGTCGAGGGACGAGGAGTAGCGCCAGCCGCCCGGGCTCCTGCCGGGGGTCTCCCAGAACCCAGGCGCGCGCGGAGTTGACAAGTGTGAGCGCCGTGGCGGAGGGCGCGCTACGCGGACGAGGCGGCGATCGATCCCAGTATTGGCTAAAGTCCCCTTTATAAGGGCGGCTGGCGGGGGCGATCGTCAGAGCTGGGCAAGCGAACGTCAGAGCAAAGTGGTGCTGGGGCGGGTGTCGGGGACAGTGCCCTCGCGCGCAGGGTGGGTGTGGGGGTGAGGAAGGGCGGGGGCTGAGGGGCTGGGCGGGAGCCCGGGCACTGGGCTGGCTCCTGTGTGGGATCCTGCGCCCAGGCGGGGCAGAACAAGTGGCTGCCACTCCAGCTCCCCTCCTCCGGGAAGGAGAGTCGTTTCCCATTCTAACTTCCCAGGGCTCTGGTTCTTAGCAGGGGATCGGAGACTGGGAGGGTTTGGGGGCATCTTGTTTTCAGACGGAGCAGCTAAAGTCCAACAGAGAGTAAGAGTCTAGAATTCTTGTCTTCCCAGACTGGCCTGAAATGGTTTCTTGCTCCTCTCACGGAGTTGAAGTGGTATTCCCCACTGAGTTCCATGGGTCTCTGGTGGAGCCTGTTTCTGACTCCCCTGCTGAAGGGTTTCCTCAAGAGGATATTTCAGGAAAGTTTCCGAAGTCATTTTTAAATTCATATCCCTTTCACTTAAAAATGAGGTTAAAATGAAAAACTATAAGAGTTGTCCAAAACAATGAAGTATGACACACGCCAGATAAGATAGCTTTCCTTGTAGAGGTTACTAGGATGTTTGCCCACCAAAATCCCTTATTCTAGCATCACAAAATTTTTTTGCTGTAAGTTTAAAATTATCTATCATCTATCTATCTATCTATCTATCTATCTATCTATCTATCTATCTATCTACCTATCATCTATCTATCTATCTGTCTATCATCTATCATCTATCTATCATCTATCATCTATCAATCAGTCATCTATCACCCATCCATCCATCCCTAGATAGCTATATTTAATGCAAGATTGTTTATATGTGCACAGATACAGTTACACATGTATAGCCCTTATTTACCCAGATATATAGATGGATTGATAGATACAGATATCTGTGTATTTATATACATATGTGAGTGTATGTAAAGAGAGAGAATAGCAACAAGTCCCTTTGGCCATGTTCTTCCTTCTTTACGCATTGCATCATGCCAGTGTATTAAGCAGTGAAATATGAAAATCTAGTAACTGATAGAATAAGTAAGAGTAGTTCTTAACTACTGTCCACTTCTCTCAAGGTAAAATTTCAGACCATCTGCCATTTTCTTATGCTGGATTTGAAAATGAAATTTCACTACCTCTTCTGTTTGTTCTCTGTATAAACAGTAACTACATCCAATCACCTTGTTTGAGATAAGAAGTCCCATGGAATTCAAATAGAAATTAAGACAAGGGAGAAGGGTCTGCATGGACAATTATCACATCTGGTTTGAATGATTAGCTCACTGCTTTTCTGGACAAGGTTTAGATAGCCTTTCAATGGCACTCCATTTTTTTTTTTTACATGAAAGGTTATGAATTTAAGCAATTTTAAGGAACTGATAGAAGGAAAACAGAGGTGGAATTTCATATTATTACTCAAGTGCTTTTCTTTTCTTTTTTAAAGTGTGTGTGTGTGTGTGTGTGTGTGTGTGTTTATTTTTGAGAGAGGCAGGGTGTGAGCAGGGGAGGGGCAGAGAAAGAGGGAGACACAGAATCTGAAGCAGGCTCCAGGCTCTGAGCTGTCAGCACAGAGCCTGACACGGGGGTCAAACTCACAGACTGCAAGATCATGACCTGAGCTGAAGTCCGACGCTTAACTGACTGAGCCACCGAGGGGCCCCTCCAGTGCTTTTCAATAGAAATCCATTCATTCATTCTTGATTTTGTTTTTGACAGTTATGTATAAGTCAATTTCTGATTTTGGACTTTGGCCATAGGTTTAGTTCTGTCTTTCCTATCAGAATATACTTAAGGTGATGATGACAAAAATCTTGCAAGGCAGATATAGGTAGTGACAGTGTTTGAAATAATACACAAGGCTAAGGTCCTGGGGGCTAAACTCATATCCAAAGAGGGACAAAAGAGGTGGCTGTACTCAGAGAAACATCATCAGAGCTTTCAGCTATAAGAATCAGGAAGGCAGCCAGGACACAAAGCTTTCTGTGGGGCCCACCTAATCCACTTTAAGAAGCCAGATTTGCCAGCTTCTAGATTCAGTGCCAGATCTGGGAAGATACAATGACCTTGAAGGTGGCCAAAACAATTCTGTCCTGGCAGAGCAGCTATCCTTCATGACAGAAAGCACTAGTTGAAAATAACAATTGCTGATGTATTGAGTCTACTTCTGTGGAGACATTTCCTCATTTGCCGAGCCCTTTGAGCTCCTGCATCTGATCTGATGATGACGATGCTGCTGCTTGTGAATTTCTGCTCTAGGATGTACCTTCCCAGACTTCCACGCCTCTTTTGTCTTTAATATGTACCTCTTCTTCCGTTCTCCTAAGAATATGTGAAGTACATGGCAGCAGAAGCTCAACTGCAGCTTTGGATGATAAAAAAGCAGGTTTTGCCTTTCCAAATCATTTATTTATTTAACAGACATTTCCTAAGTGCCTTTTATGTTCCAAGCACTGTTCTGAGTACTGAGAAGCATGTGGAAAATTATATAGTCCCTGCCCTCAAGCAATTTATCATTAGTGAAAGGAAAGGAGGAACAAATAAGCAAAAGCTCTACTTGAATATACTATTATAAATGCTGGCAAAATCATGTCATATCTATGCACACAGATTTCAGGGAAAACACACAAAAAGGCCTTAATAAGGCAGGGGTATTCCTCTTGGAGGAAGGGGAGATTTATTCATTCAACAAGCACAATGTGAGGACCCTACTCTGTGCCAGGAATTATGAGACGTGTGAGGTACATAGCTGGAAATGAAGATAGCCCAGTCCTCACTGTGTTTACAGTCTATGATCTTGCTACTCAAAGTATGGTCCATGGAACAACAGTGTCAAACATCATCTCTCTCTTTTTCTTTTGTTTATATAACATCGGTAATTTGAGAAGGACATCACTTGGCATACGCACATTGGACATGACTCAGATATGAATGACAATGCATAAAGAGATTTTGAGGGATCCATTTTCCTTAAGTCATCATCCTTCATCATGTCTCAGTCTCTTCATACAAGTTTTACTTGAACCTTTCAAAATTTCTAATTGATTACATTTAACTTCAATTGCAATTTTGGCCTGTCATTTGCAAACCAGAGTGATCATCAAGAGTCACAGAGTACTTTAAAAATTGCAGATACTAGGGCCCCACAGCAAAAATTCTGATCCAATAAAACTTGGGTAAGAGTTCAGAAATCTCTTTGAAATAGACTATTTTTAAGAGGCTCTTAGGTTCATAGAAAAATGAATAGAGGTATTTCCTAAATACTCCCACCCTG